CTCGAAGTAGAGGAGCTGGAAGGGGCTCAGATTTATCTCCACGTAGGCAAAGAAGTTCCACTTCTACTGACAAAGRTACAGGTAGTCCTTTCATATACAGTCAATTCAATGTTGTCGTCGACCAAGTCAAGCCTACGTGACTGGACCGAAAGGAACTCTGGGTAGCAATCATTGAAGCCGAATTGACTCCATAATTTTATCTGACTAGTTATGCCTGGTTTACAGCACGAACCTTTGTAGGCGAGCAGGAATTGTTGAAGGACAAGTATTATTAATGCCTTCATATTTTCCAAATTGTGAACTGAATCATAACTACTTTGTTTTTCTTTCCCTAAACCCAAAGACATGCATTTGATGGATTGTTTCTCGCCGTTATTATCTTTACTACTAGCGAGAACAATTAATTCAGAACGAATATTTAACCACTTCAGTGATTTTTACCCATATTCCTTTCGGTCCAGTCGCGTAGGCTTGAGCTGGTCAACGACAACGTTTTTTGAATTGACTGTAAATAAAATATGTACCCTGACTTTAATTAGTCCATCAAGAGAAATTAAATGACGTCATTCTACTTTGGAATATTTTACCATCATAATAATGATTGTAACTTTATATTATTATTATTATCGGGGGTTCGATTCCCATCCTGGTACTCTGATTTTTTCTAGGGTTGTGTTTATTAGCGTGCTTATCTTCACCTATATATTTTCATGTGTATACAGTTTGTATATACAATTATTTACTTTGATTTTTGTCATTACAGACAGAAAAGCAGGATTGCTTTCAGCAGAAGACTTAAAAAGGGAAAATGCCTTAACCAGAAARCGTGAAGATGAAATGTTTGCAAAAATGGACAGTCGGAAATCTGGTAAAGATGCAAAAACCGTCCACCGTGACAAAAGTGGTAAGATAAGAGACTTGGAGGCAGAAGAGCAGAAGAAAAAAGAGGAAGACAAGAAGAAGGCGATTCATGATGAGAAATTTAAGAAATGGGGCAAAGGGTAAGTTAATGATTTGTGTTTTTCCTGGAAGACTCCAGTTTTAAAATGGAATCGTAAATCTATCCATGCATCCATGAATCCATCCATCCATAAAGCATCCCTCCCTCAAAAGCATGCATCCATCCACCCACCCACCCTTTCTCCCTCAACTCCCTCCATCCATCCATCCATCACACCCTCCCTCCCTCGACTCCCTCCATCCATCCATCTATCCATCCACCCTCCCTCCCTCCCTCCATCCATCCATCCATGAATCCATGCATCCATCCAAAGCATCCCTCCCTCCAAAGCATCCATCTTTCCATTCATCCTCCTATTCCATTCATCCATGTGTCTATCTAACCATCATTCAATCATTCATCAATTAAAAATAGATGTCATATACATGTATTTCCCTKTTTCATCCTACAGCATCGTTCAGACACAGGAAGCCCAGAAAAAGATGGAAGATTACCTTCATGAGGTGAACAAACCCCTGGCACGGTATAAAGATGACAAGGACTTGGATGCCATGCTTAAAGAACAAGAAAGAGAAGATGATCCCATGTTAGCTTACATGCAAAAGAAGAAATCTGTGGTTAAGAAAAAGGCTGGAGTCAAAGGTAAACTTGTAACAAGAGCTAATTACTGCAGCAGTAGCAGTAGTAGTAGCTAAGAGTAGTAGTAGCAGTAGCAGTAGCTAGCAGTAGTAGTAGCAGTAGCAGCAGCAGCAGTAGCAGAAGCAGCAGGAGTAGTAGTAGCAGCAAAAGTGGCAACAGCAGTAGTAGTAGTAGTAGCAGCAGCAGCAGCAGTAAGAGTATCAGCAGCAGTAATGAAAACAGAAGTAGTAGCAGCAGCAGCAGTAGTAGCAGTGTTAGTGGAAGCATTGATACAATTAGCAGTTGTAACAGTTCCTCACAATTGTCGAACTTTTTTCTCTGCAATTTGAATGTCTTCTAAACTGCACAAAGATGAAATCATTTCATTTAACAGTACCAATATTTTTTTCCAGAGAGACCAACCTACAAAGGACCACCTCCTCCACCTAACAGGTTCCGCATCCCCCCAGGCTACCGATGGGATGGTGTCGACCGATCCAATGGCTTTGAGAACAAACGATTCACTATGTTAGCCAATAAGAAAGCAACTGAAAAAATGGCACATAAATGGAGCGTAGAAGAAATGTAAAATAATGAACTGTCATCAGGTCATGTTCCAGGAAAGCCCTCACTTTAGATGTGACGGAGACCCCACCTTGGGGGGTGGGGTAAGGATTTTGTTGTCCATTGCGAATAAAGCTCAGATTATTGAAAATGGATGAATATTATCAACAAGTTCTCATTAAAAGACTGAAGCCCCAGTAGGTGTTTATTGACCCATACAGCAACATCTSTAGCATATACATCTATTTCAAAAAACGTTTGTGCAGTTTTAATTTCTTGTGTGCACCAAGCATGAAATGCATTATGGGTAAGGCGAATTCAATCAATAAAAGGTGATATGGAATTTTCCCATTTTGCATGTTTTCCCAGTATATTTTCTTTGGTATTAGATTGTGTGGCACTACACAGGCAACGTATATGTTGATATTATTTACATAACAATATTATATGTTTCAAGTATGGTAAGGAACATGCAACAAAACTGTTACCAACCTTTTTTGAAATACCAGTACATTACTTTGTCTTTCTATAAAACCTGGTTCACACTAGCATTGGAATAGGGAGCAACATATACAGACTCAGTGTAACATTTATCACCTAGGTGTAAAAAGGACAAGCACTGTTAATGAACAGTATGCTGAGTCATCTTTTAACTCAGATTATGATGCTAGTGTGAACCAGAGTTGTTTCTCTTTTTAATTCCTACTTTATGGGTACAATTTATTTTCCTTTCTATGTTTTCTATATTTTTCTTTCTTTCTTTCTTTCTTCCTTTGTTCTTTTCTTTCTTTCTTCCTTCCTTCCCTCCCTTCTCTCATTCTCTCCTAGATTTAAAAAGTACCTATTGGATATCATTTTGTCATTTGACTCTATGAAGCATGAACCAACTATTTTTAAACTTGCTACAATTATAACTTTTATCAATATTACAGTCAGTGCTAATAAAGAAACCATTGGCACCTTGAAATATTTCAAGAAATAATATTTCTTAATAATCAATCAGAAGCATTGTTTTCTTTCTGTTATATTGTGGTTCGAGAGTTATTTTAGATTGGCCAAGGAAAAATAGAACATTCATGGAATATTGTTTTGTAGGTGCCCTGAATTTAGTACTGTAATTTTATATTAACCTTACAAATTCTTACTCATTTAGAGTGAAGACATTAAACCCGTGTAATCAACATTAGTCTAATACACTTTAGTAGACGATGGCTAGTAAACACTAGCGTGGACTGCGTCGGTGTTTCTAATGAAACAGTTATCGTAGATTGATAAGTTATACACCGTAGTGAAAATAGGAACTGACGTTTCGGACGTTAGTCCTTCGTTGGAGTCACTTTAGTAGACCCTAATTCCATTGTTTTCTTTTGTGTCTATTTGACTATTACACGTTGACTGACATTATTTATTTCATGGGTTAAATGCCTTCACTCTAGTTTAATATGTCCTTTTAATAAAATCTTTACTTTTATACCACTTTCATGTAAAGAAGTTGTAAAATGTATGAAACTACTTTTTTCAAAAAACTATAAAAATATAATATAATATTGATTCCATTAATTAAATCTATATTTATTTCTCTATGTCTTTTTCTCTTTCATTGTTCTCACTATTTTCCTTCAGGCATTTCATTAAGTTTTGTAAAACAGGAGAAAATCATGGTAGCTTATAGTTTAAAGCAGAGAATTTTTCTCAGAGCATTCTCAGATCTCTGACCTTAATGAAAACCCTGTTTCTTTCTTCTCTTCAAGCTTTATGAGGGAATCCATTATTGGCTACTATTTCCTTATACACCAAGGCCGATTTCTTTGGTGTTCGAGTTCTCTTCTCATCTTCAAAGTCAACCCTATGAATCCCAAACCGATACTTGTAACCATCTGCCCACTCAAAATTATCCATCAGTGACCAAACAAAGTAGCCCTTTAGTCTGACCCCATCAACAACACAAGCTTTTAAGGCTTCATTGAGGTATCCCTTGATATAATTAACTCTGTCAGTGTCTTCCAGAGCTTCTGGTACTTCTAGTTGGTCTTCGTTAGCACAACTGAAGCCATTTTCTGATACTATTATTTCTGGGTCATTGTAGTGTTGTTTGATCCAGACTAGTAGCTTGCGTAAGCCATATGGAACACAGTAGAGCCAGTCTGGGGCACCTGCAGAGAAATAGAAAACGTAGATTGTATTTGGGGAATCAACGTTATATGCCGTCCACCATTTAACCCTCTTAAATATGTTTAAAGTTTTGACAACCCCCTGGATCTACAACATTATCACAATGCTAATAAATATATATTAATATTCACATAATTCAATATAATTATTGACAACCCCCTGGATCTGCAATATTATTACAATGCTAATAACATCTAATTATTCACAAGTTTCTATGAGATATCACATGACTATTGGGTTGCCTGTGGTAGGTCAGACGTCGAGTTGTGTCAGCACTTGGTTACTACTTGCAATAAAGTATGAATAAATGGTAGATACACAATAGTTTCCATGATATATCATATCACAATCAAGCGCAATAGTCTTCAGGGGCGTTACACATTGAGTGAGTGATCTGTTCCTGATAAGAAAAATGAGTGACTATATTCTCACAAACAATCACCAACATTTTTAAAACTGGGGTATCTAGGTACCAGGTACATAGGGTATTAAACTTGGGCACCTGAGATTAAGCACTCCTGCTCAATTATTACCATTCGTCTTCATCATCCATCAGTCTTCAAGAGCATTAAATAACATAGTGAGTGAAATGTTTAGGATAAGAAAAATGTCAAGATCAACAATATTATTTAAAGCTGGGGTACCTAATAAAACACTCCTGCTCCATTATTACCATTCATAATATTAAACAATACTTRTAGAGTGAAGTCATTAAACCYGTGAAATAGATATTAGACTAATACACTTTAGTAGACCCTAATTCCATTGTTTTCTTTTGTGTCTATTTGACTATTACACGTTGACTAGTATTTTTTATTTCATGGGTTAAATGCCTCCATTCTAATGTGTAAAACAATAAAAAATATTTACCTCTGACCCAGTGTGGTTTTCTTGTTCCCTGGATTCCCTGGTCAGTTTCATAGTCCCATACCACATCAGGATTGGATGAAAAGTCTTGGTGTTCAGCTATGGTTGTGGAATACATATTCAAAGCGAAAAAGTCAGCTGTACCTTTGATTAACTTCTTTTCTTCCTCAGTGAACTGTGGCAACCTAGTAGTTAAAGTTATAAAGGTGAGAATGTAAGAAGTGAAGAATGAAAGGAGGTAGGGAT